ACATCCCCCCCCTTGTGTTTAATATACTTGATGTTCTCTCAGTAATGAATTCCGGTGTAATCGTGCCGTTTTCCATAACCATTTGGGACATTTGCGTGTCGATCCCTTCAACCTTGATAACCTCTGGTTTCGTCTATATTCCCAACAAACCCAGTGCTTCCACTATGCTCGCTTTTACCGGAATTTTTTTACATATCGGAGCAAGGTCCTTATGTTCGGTTGGCATAAAGTAAATTACATTACATAAATTCGGGTTGTAAAGAGGCCAATCCGAGAGGTCGTGAAAAGCAGTTTAATATTTGCACGATGGGTTTCTATTATTGGATACCGGGGGGGGGGGGTCGATGGTTTTCACGAAGAGCCGAAGCGCTTCTTCCATTTATCCATATCTCGCTTCCATCTCTTACGGATTTACATATAGGACGTGAAATAAAAACAGAACGCTTGAGGGGTTTTTCAGTTTTCAAAGTTGAATCAATCTTGTATGACAAATTGTTAAACCGAAAAAAGGAATCGGACAAAAAGTCCATTTTAAATTTAAAACAAACACAAAGTTTTGCAATAATCAAGTAATTCGTTTCACTTTATATTCGGCTTGAATTGTTCGAGTGTAAAAAATTACCTTTTGACTCTCGTGTGAGTCTTTATTTATTAACGGTGAAAATTCCGCCTCCATGGAGGTGTCAGCTCTTCCACCCTTTTAACAGAGTGGGAGGCTTCATAATCCTTTACGCCCCAGAGAGCTTAGCCTTATTATTATTGAAGAGGATTAAAAATCCGCCAGTAAATAAACACAGGCCCTGTGCGGTTGTTGCGCCCGATTTTAGACTTAACACCGCGCCGGCCGGCAACGGGAATCCGAATAAATCAAAAAGGATTGCTAATCAAACATATAACAATACAGATGTATTTTTGCCATAGCAAAAGAACGTAAAACTTTTTTACAGTTAAAAAAACAAAAGCATTTTTAATCTAATAAAGGAAAAATAAAAACGAGACCGTACAGACTTAATTTTTATAAATATCCGAATTAAAGCCGAATAAACAACATTTTCTTTTACACAAACCTAAGCCTAAAATTATTCCAAATTTCCAACTAACCCAACCATAAAATTGGTCCAACTTACCAACGAGTTCAAGTCTAAAATTATTTTAATTTCCAAACGAACCAGTTTGAAATTAGTCCAATTACCCACGACCCAAGTTTCAAAAAAGGCCGATTTACCAATAAATAACTCAAGTCTAAAGTTCGTCCAATTTACCAGCTATAGGTCCAATAAGCCAGGATCAAATTGGTCCAACTTATCAATTACGTCAAGCACAAAATTATTTCTACTTACCATCTATCCTACATCTACAATTTGTCAAATTTATCAACTAATCCAGTCCAAAATGTTTCTTATCTATCAAAGGCTAAATCAGAAAAATAATTTTACAAAACAACAAACCCAAGTCTAAATTTTTTTAGCACACTACTATCAAATCCAAACATAAGATTAGTCCTCCTTTCAAACGAGCCCTAATCTAATATTATTCCAAACTAAGGAACGACCTACAATTTATCTAAGTTACCAACGAACCAGTTTGAAATTAGTCCAATTTACCCCCGAACCCAAGCTTCAAAATAGGCCGATTTACCAATGAATAAATCAAGTCTAAAGTTAGTTCAACTTACCATCTAACTCAAATCTAAATCATTTCCAATTCACCAATTAAATCAAGCATAAAGTTAGTCCAATTTACCAATTAACCCAAACATAAAAATAATTCTACTTACTAACGAACCCTATTCTAAAATAGTCTAATTATCCAACTAACCTTCGCTTGGAATTAGACTAACTTACCAACGAACCCAAGTCCAATGTTAGTCCAAATTTCCAACTAACCCAAGCATAAAATTGGTCCAACTTTCCAATGAGTTCAAGACTAAAGTTAGTCCAATTTCCCAAAGAACCAGTTTGAAATTAGTCCAATTTACCCACAAACACAAGCTTCAAAATAGGCCGATTTACCAATAAATGGAAGGGTTACAACTTAGGATTAAATTAATTAAGGTTTTTTAAGTTGAGATAAAAAAGTCAGTGTCACGAGCGGGATTCGAACCCACGACCTTCGGCTTGATACGCCGCTACTCTACCACGGGCTACATCGATTCTCTCGGACACTTCTCATCTCAACACAACCTTTTGAATTTTCCCTTCTTTTTACAAACGTTTACGTCTCGGGACTTCAAAAATTTTCCCGCTCGTGACACTGACTTTTTTATCTCAACTTAAAAAACCTTAATTAATTGAATGTTATTAATTGGTCAATCGGACCACGAAAAATAGTGAATCTTAGGATTAAAACTAGTTGAACTTACCATCTAACTCACATCTAAATCATGTCCAATTTACCAATTAAGTCACGCATAAAATTAGTCCAATTTACCCGCGAACCCAAGACTCACAATAGGCCGATCTACCAATAAACCGAAGTCTAAAATAGACCAACTTTTCAAATAACACAAAGCTAAAATGTGTTCTACTTACCAACGAGTCCAAGTCTAAAAAGTTCATTCAATTTACCAAGCGAAAAATTATCCCAGTTTACCGACTAACTCAAGCCTAAAATTAATTCAGCTTACCATTTAACTCACATTTAAACCATTTCCAATTTACCAACTAAGCCAGGTATAAAACTAGTCCAATTTACCAATTAACTCAAGCATAAAATTCGTTCGACTTTCCAACGAACCCAATTCTAAAATAGTCTAATTTTCCAACTAACCCAAGTATAATGTTAGTCCTCTTCACCAACGAACCCAAGTCTAAAAATAGCCCGACTTTCCAACTAACCTAAGCATAAAATTCATCAAACTTACCAACGAGTTTAAATCTAAAATTAGTCTAATTCCCAACGAACCGGTTTGAAATCAGTCCAATTTACCCACGAACCCAAGCCTCAAAAAAGGCCGATTTACAAACAAATGGAAGTCTAAAATAGACCAACTTTTCAAATAACCCAAAGCTAAAATGAGTTCCACTTACCAACGAGCTTAAATCTAAATTTCGTCCAATTTACCAAGTGAAAAATTAGTCAAATAAAGTTAGTTCAACTTACCATATAAATGTGTGGTGATTAGTGACCGTTAATCGATATTTATTTAGAAATCGTGAGATGCGGTCTGGTGTGATGTAGGTCTCAGAAAAACATTTTCTTTATCGTGCCAACGTTTCGATCTTTATTGAGATCATCTTCAGGGCTTGGGATTTACAAACATTGTTTACATGTAACAATTACATTTTGGATGTGGAAAAGTGAATTTATACAATGCAAAATATATTTTTTATATATTCAATCAAAGTATTTTTACTCACTCAAAGTGTTTTTTTTTCTGTGTAATTGTAATTTTTTCAGATAGTCTAATTTCCCAACAATTTAGCTTTCCTTTTCCTATTTATCCCTTTCTATATAATCTTGAAAGGATAATCTGGCCGAAACATTTTTTCCTTTCGTCTGCTCTTTTCACCTCAAAGAAGCCGACGCCTTATACAAAAATGTCTTTTCTATACCGACATCATTCCCCACCCCTTCAAAATCCAACGTATATAAACACAAAATAGCAAAATCTCACTGGCACTCTCGACACGACACGCAAAAATGGCACAATTACACAGAAGACAAATACTTTGAGTGAGTAGGAATACTTTGATTGAATATATAAAAAAATATATTTTGCATCGTATAAATTCACTTTTGCACATCCAAAATGTAATTGTTATATGTAAACCATGTTTGTAAATCCCAGGCCCTGAAGATGATCTCAATAAAAGATCGAAACATTGGCACGATAAAGAAAATGTTTTTCTGAAACCTACATCACACCTGACCGCATCTCACGATTTCTAAATAAATTACCATATAAATCCATCTACATGTCCAATTTATCAGCCAGGGATCAAATTATTTCAACTTATCAATTACGTCAAGCATAAAATTAGTTCCACAACTACAATTTGTCAAATTCATCAACCAATTCAGGTGTAAAATTAACCCTTAAGTAATTAATTAAATTAAATTAATCAAAACGAACCCTAGCCAATTTACCTACAAACCCTAGCCAGAAAATAGGCCAATTTACCAAAGTCTAAAATTAGTCTGAATTTCTAACTAAACAAAGCATAAAGTTAGTCCAACTTGCAAACTAGACGAATTAGTATTGCTTACCAACGAGCCCAAGATTAAAGTTAGCCCGATTTATCAACTAACCCAAGTCTGAAACTAGTCCAAATTACCAAAAAACCTAAACTTAAAATTAGTCCAACTTACCTACTTGCCAAAGTTGAAAATTATACTAGTTTACTCATGAATCCAAGCCTCGAATTAATACTGCTTCCTAACGAGCCCAAGACTAAACTTAGTCTAATTTACCAACCAACCAAAGTCTAAAATTAATTGCATTTACCAACAAGTTAAGCTTAAAATTAATTCAACTTAGCAACTAACTGAAGCCTAAAATAAGTCCAACCTTTGAGCGCAAGTCAAAAGTTAGTCCAACTTACAAGCCTAAAAACCTGTTTTGATTTTCTAATTTCAAAGTTGAGCCAATTACCGACAAATACAATCCCAAAATGAACATAAACCAACTTGAAAGTTTAAAATTAGTTACCTTACTTACCAAGATTAAAATTCCCTAGTTACCATTGATCCGAAGCAAAAAGTGTGCGAGGGTCGATTATTGACTAAAGTCGTTAAAGTTAGAAAACTCACAAACTCACTCCTATTTACTTAAGAAAATTCAATTCAACTGTTACTTTACGTTTTAGTAATACAATATTAATAGTAATAGCACACTAGTTGTATTTCAATATTGTTCTACTTTTTTTAAATTATTTTAATTAATTTAATTAATATTACAGCTGGAACATCAATCAAAAAATTCAAACATAAATTTTTTGTAATTCTGCGGATTTTATTTCTGCTAGAATTATTAAATTAAATTTCATTTTTTTCAGGAATCAAAATGGCGATTGTTATGTCGTCGAGGAGCAAGCTAGTCGTTGGTGGCATCATAGTGACGTTCCTGGTCGCAGCGGTGCTCGTCGTCGGCTCGACTGCCGGCTGGTTCCACAAACACCAGCCGATGCCAGCTCCACACCCTCTCCAGCACAGCCACGCCAAGGTGATTTTCAAACATTTTCAAATCGGAAAATCGAGTCACAAAATTTGTTTTTGCCCCTCTGACGAGGATCCTGAAATGACCACCTTGAAGAAGCGAGACTATCACGGATTTGGAACTCGGCCAGGATTAATCCCCGAACCGTTAAATTATACAGGCAGTTTTCTGTAATAGGAAAGGCATGCCAAAACGGCCAATATATCATTGAGAAATTTCTATAAATTATGAACTTTATTCTTAAGAATAAAGGACGTGTCATTGAGTCTAGGTTAAGAGATTCTATCAACTTTTGTTCCTTTTTATGGTCAAGTTGTTAAAAGTTATAATTGTCATAATTAATCGTCTGATTTGAACAGATATAAAAGGCTAGAAGGTTTATTTGTTAATTATAAAATTTCCCCATTTCATTCATTAAACGGTATCAATCTCAATCGTCTCTTTTCGCACCTAATGGACAGATTTCGTATAATTTCCGTCCTGTCGTCAATTTGTTAATGAGAAAGGTGAAGGGATATCGAAAGTCGTAAAGTTAAAACGACAGATCGGCCTCCGTCTCTTCATTTACAGTTTCAGCGCCGTTTTCCAGTTTTATCCGATTTGTCAACCCGTCGTCACCGACTTGAGAGGGTTGGAGAATTTCACCTCTTAAATAATTACAGGGTCGCAGGGATGGCGGGGCGGTCCACCCTCTTCCGAGTGTTACCGACATGTCAATATCACCCTCACCTATCCGATTTGAACCACGAGCGGATTGCCCTGGACCTCGGGGTGGCTGATTCAGCTTTAAAAAGCCTATTGGCGGCCTCTCATTGACATAAGCCTCGGGGAGTTTTCCAAACACTCTCTCTCTCAAAATAAAAAAAAGGGGGTTGAAAGACCCCAAGGGATAAAATTAGGTTTTTATCCGAGAGTCAACCGACCAAATGAACTTAACGACCCCTTTACCGTGAAGACAATCATTACAATTGAATATTATTTTCTATTTATTCTACATAAAACTCTTTGCGATTAGCCAATTGGTGACCACAATTATTCAAATAAGGATCGTTTATAGAACAAAAAAATAAACATAGGCCATTCTCCCATCAACCTCTCTTCCTTTCTGTTTTTTATTCTAAGTATTTTAGTTATAACTATTACTTATAATATTATTATAATAAGTCAATTCTATGCCTATAATGTACCCTAAAAAATAAATAATAACTTGGCCAGACTAAAACTTCAGCCTTGATGCTAATTTTATGTAGTTTTGGAACAATTATAACTTAAATTTTACAGTAATGAAATTTTTCCCAACTTTTGCCATAACTCTCTATTAAGAAAAATGTTTTCTTGAGAGATTTAGGGCTCCCTATAGATTTTATACGAATCGTAATGGATATAACACCTGACATGAGAATCTTTGTGAGCAGTAATGGCGAACTCAGAGGACTTTTGAAGGCTTTCAGAAATCTTCCTCAGGGAGGTACATTTAGTCGTGTTTTCTTCGAAGTTCATACAGATGACTTAATGTCAATGACCCCAGGGTAGTAGTATGCCTATGAAATTTTGCAAAAAAGTTTGAATTGAAGCCAACTGAAACGAGTATCGATGGCCCTGGCCCAGAAACAAAACCTAAACAAAAAATTTCTCACCTGGACAAAACGCTTCATATAGCACAAAGGATAATAAATTTTAGTTGGAAAGCCCTAACACAAAGTCGTTATTCTCCGGACCTGGCCCGATCTGACTTTCAACTTTTCTTAGCAATGGACAATCTTCGACAATCGCCAATAGCTGGAAAAATTTTAAGTTTAAGTTTTAAACTTTTATAAAAGGGCATAACTGCACTAGTAATGAGTAATGATGAAGACTATTTCCCAACTTATTTGGTTATCTGACGTTTAAGGACAGTCAAGGGTCATATTACCTTCAGAGGAGTCTAATGTTCATGTAAGTTCAAGTAACATTTCTAGCGGTTGGTTCCTTCCAATATCCACCTTGTTGAACCTCATGAAAAATTAGTTTATTTACAATGTACCTACTTAATAAACTCAAATCTTCCTCGCCTCCAATCTAGGGCTTCAATCCTGACTTGTCCACACAATCAATTTTTACTCGTCTCCCATTGATTTTATTTTAAAGTTTGGTATCGCCAGAGTTGGGCAAAATCTAACCAATTCAATCATGATTAAGAATTTTGATTGAAGTTTAATCATGATTGAATTAGTCATGAGTAAACTTCAATCAAAATTCATATTCATGATTGAATTAGTTTGATTTTGCCCAACTCTGACTACATTGACCAACTTACCAAAATCCAACCGACTCCGGATAAAAATTTTGAGATGAGAATCGTGCTCAAGGCCAACCTTCAAAAATTGTTATCTTAAACGAAAACCAAAGTTACATAATTATTCTACATGTCTATTTTATTACAATCAAGACCCCTAGATGGTGTATTTTCCAAATAATGTAGAAATCTCTCATTTTAAGTGGAATAAATTTTAATTCAAAGAATATTTTTTACATTGATCGGTTATGTAAACATATTTACTTTTCAAAAAATAGCTTTTTATAGGTTTTTTTAATTTAATTTTATTATTATTATCATCATTATCATTATTTTTTGGCTTTTCATTACGATGGAGTTTTACATATAATTGGAAGATTGATTTTTGTTAAATAAGGTGTTGAAGGATTTTCGTTTTGATGAAATAAATTTCTCTTAGAAAATTTTTTAAAAGTGATGAAGTGTATTTTTCATTTTTTGAGCACCCATTTGAACATGATTTATCGAAATTTAGTCATGACTACTTATACGGTGACTAAATTAGTCATGCCTCGTATTTAATTACTAGTCATGACTAATTTAGTCATCAATCACATATGGCGACTAATGACTAAATTAGTCATCAATCACATATGGCGACTAATGACTAAATTAGTCATCAATCACATATGGCGACTAATGACTAATTTTGTCATCAATCACATATGGCGACTAATGACTAATTTTGTCATCAATCACATATGGCAACTAATGACTAAATTAGTCACTTACTAACATCATGACTAACAGTCTGAGTGATCAATCATTAATCATTAGACATGACTAATTTTTGCCAGACACTGGGTACCGCCAATTCCTTCTCCTTTTTATATTATCTTATATTGAATATTATCTCCCTCCCAGTGACCTCCGTTGGTTCTATTTTTTCTTCCAAACCGTTTCCATGTAGTCACCATCCCATAACCTCCATTGTCCTCCTAATCCATCATTGCCTGGAGGCTGAAGGTACTCCGTTTAGATTATTTTACTGTTAAATGACATTCCTAATGTGATGACTCCCAAATTTATTTTAAAAAATAGGAAGAATTAAACTCAGATAGATTCTGAGCTGATGAAAATAGGCCTGACATGAACGTAGAAAAGTTCTAGGCCTTTGTTTTTGGGTCCAGTTCTCTTTTCTATTACTTATTTCTTATCTTTCTGCTTAGAATTAATAATTTCTCTACATATCATCAACCTAGGAATTGTCACTGTCTACACCTCCAGGAAGCCCCATATTACTACATTTCCACCATCAGTCAGTTCCATCGTGCCATTATCTACCCTTTAGTACGCATACTTAGTTTCCTCCCTTGTTCTCCCCACATTGATCATTTATGTGTTTTGAACGGAAGAGTCACTAAGGAGCTTAAAGATATGACTAAACGTTGAAAGAATTGTTTTGTACTATTTATCTTTGGATCCACAAGAATAGACGAATGTCTATACCCACTTACGCATGTTTTACATCCTTGACTCCTTCTTCTATTTTTGTTCACCATACTTTCAGATCTTTTGTACACACCCGACAAAATAGCTTCTGACCTTCTCACTTCCTTCAGTCGTTTTTTCTTCACCTTTATTCCTTCATTCCATTCTCATTTTATCCGCCGAGGCACATTCCTTTTTTTAACATTTTTGTAAACCAACAAGCTCGAATTCTATGTCGTTAGGGATAATAAATCCGTTTCTGCACTCAATTTTTTATTTTATATGATGTAACAACCGTCTTTCTTTTCTTTATTCTATTGCTAGCCTCTGTTTACCTTTGAGGTTAGCGGCCACATAAATTGAGATGAAAATAATACATGTAACAAGCACAATAACATAATAAATAAAAATCTCTGGTTAGCAGTCACTCCTCCTTATCTGATATTTTTCGGGGTGATTAGGGATGAGCCTCTCCATTCTCGCTAATAAATTACATTCCTACTACCCTAGAGTAATAGATAATCTTCGGGGTAATTGGAAAGAAGCCATTCCATTCTCGCTAATAAATTACATTCACACAAATGTACTCGATATTCATCGGGGTAATTGGAGCTAAGCCCTTCCATTCACGCAAATAAATACATTCGTTCTAACAAATAACATTTATCACTTACAAGAATGTACAAAAAACAACAACAACAATTGTTGTACGTTTTTTTAAATGGATTATAACCTCCAGATTTTGCACAAGATATTCAATTGACTGGATACTGACTCCAAATATTATATATATAATATTTATCCCATAATATTTTATATATATATATANCTATATATATCCCAAAATGTTTTCGGAAAAAGTTCCCAAATTTCTTTATTTATCTCATATTCTATTTTAACGTTTCCACTATAACAAAAACGTGTTTATGTCGACCGTTTTAATGGTAAACATTATAAAACCTGAAAGCACTTTCTAAATATTTTCATTATTTATCAAAAGTTTTCGTCTGGAAGTGAAATCAATTTTCTCTTTTATTTGACCAAAAATGAATGACTATGAACGAAGAAAAAGTCTTTCCGCATATTTCATGAACCAATTTTGCTAATATTGTTTTATTTTTTTTTTATCTGCCAGTAGAAAAAGTCTGTTGATTATTTCCGAAGAATTTGAAATGGGAAAAAGGTTTTTGCATTGAAAACGGGACGGTAAATAATTTAGACGGGCCAGATTGCCCCGCAGTTAAAGTCAAAGAATTACTTAACAGACGATATCTGGCCCCCTCTAATTTTTCTTTATAGCGCCCTGTCATCAATCTGGCAATTGTATTTGCATAACAACCGGCCTCGCTATTTGCATAAAACACCTGTTGGGAGTGGGTTATTGGCTGGAGGATTTTTTTGTCTCTTTCTCTCTCTCTTTCTCTCTGTTTGTCGCAATCCATTTGGAAATCCAATCGAGGATCAAATCCTTCATTCTTGCCAATAATCCCTTGGTTTTAAACGATGT